CTCGTCCTCCTCCTCCTCCTCCTCCTCCTCCTCCTCCTCGTCACCCTCCATCTCCTCGTCCTCCTCGTCCTCCTCGTCCTCGTCCTCCTCCTCCTCCTCCTCCTCCTCCTCCTCCGCCGAGGGGGGAATTTTTCAGGGGGTGGTTTTCGGGCGTCTTCCCTGGGAGCCTCGCCTTCCACACCTTTCGACCAGCAGGTGGTTGGTTCAGCGATTTTCCTGAGGGACGAACAGCTGCGAAGCCCTCCAGCCTTCTGCTGAGAAGCCCTACGTGGCTTCGGGGCAGGCTCAGAGAGCTTCTCAGAAGGCTGGAGGCCCTCTGACCCTTCTGAAAAGGCCCACTCCCTCTGCCTTCCCCTCTGGATGCGCCGCCGAGCCTAGGCCAGCTCCAGGAACTTCGCGCCCTGGTTTCCAACCACGGTGACCCACCCGACAGAGCCGTCGGTCTTCACCCTGCACTTCATACGCACAAGGCCGGAGGCCTCCTCCTTCTTGGGCCACTCTCTGACCTCCACGAGCTCGCCTGCCCTCAGCTTCCTGCTGGAGTCCTTCAGCTTCTTCGGGGACTCCTTGTCACCCTCGCCACCGAGACTGAAAGATGCGGTCAGGATCGTTTCCTTGACGACCTTGAACAGGTTGCCGCCCTCAACTAAGAACTTGGAGCCCTGGGAGCCCTGCAGGGTCACCCACCCCTCGGCCATGTCCTTCATGGCGATGCCCCTCACTCGTAAAACGCCAACTGTCTCCTCCTTCTGCGGTGCGGACACGACCTCCACGGCCTCCCCCTCGTCGAGCCGCCGCACATTCTCGCCTGCCTGGATACCCAGCTCGGTGGACATCACCGTCTCCTTCGCCACCTTCATGTAGACCTTCAGCCACTGAGTCATCCTCTCCTTGGGCACGCTGCCCTCGTCGTCTTCGTCCAGATACTTGAACAGCCTCTTCAGCTCCTCCGTGGGCGGCATCCCGTCGCCCTCGTCCTGCTCTGCCTTTTCGGCCTCGCTCTCCTTGTCCTCCTTGGGTGCCGTCTTGCAGCTCCCGAGGAACTTGAGGAAGCCTTTCTCGTTGACATTGCCGACCTTGTCGGCATCTAGAAGGTCAAAGAGCTCCTCGACTTTCAGGCCATCCTCTTTCTGGTGGTGCCTGACGTGCCGAAGGACCCTCTTTTCAACCACGTCCAATTCCTGCATCTCTTTCTTTTTAAACTCGTCTCGGAATCGTGTCACCATCATGTCGACCTTCATGAGCCTAGGCTCCAGGGGCACCGTTTTCATGTTGACTTGCCTCATCTCGGCGGCCAGCCAGAAGGTCAGCTGGGGGTCTACACCTTCGGAGACACCCGCAATGGTCTTCTTCAGCTCCTGGACGCTCTCTCTGGCCTCGGCGGCGCGCCCAGGGGGGTGGAGGGAGGGGGGAAGGCTGCTTGGAAGGCGCCGGCCCTACATCTCTGGAGGAGGCCCGCGCCTTCTTGGAAGCAGGGGTACTTCCAGGCAGTTCTCCCCCCTCCCCCTGCCCCCCTCTGCGCGCGGCGGATGGCCTGCTCGATCAGGGCGTCGACCTCTTCGACGAGCTTGGCCAGCTCGGCCACGGAGCTGGTGGCCACCTTGGCGTGGAGCGGCGTTGCGGCCCCCTCCGCCTCGGCCACGAGCCCCTCGGCCGCCGTGGCCTCCTGGAGCGCGGACGCCACCTTTTACCAGCCTGGAACATATCCCTATCCCTATGCTGGGCACCTCCTCATCACGATGCCAATCTTAGGGACTCCCTTCTGTTTTGAGGGCGAATCCCTGAGATTGTCATCGCCTTTTGGCGTGTCAACCTTAGGGATGGGGATACGTTCGAGGCCGGTAAACCTTCGCCTGCAGCTTCGCCTTGAGCTCGCTCAGCGCCTTGAATAAAGGAACAAGCCATGGCATCAACACTCGGAGGTCCGGGCGGACTCCTCGGATCGGCGCGGGGGCCCCCTGGCGCCGCCCCTGGCGCCGCCCCTGGCGCCGCCCCTGGCGCCGCCCCTGGCGCGCTCCGCGCGCCAGCGAGGGGGATCCAGCGCCGATCCGAGAAACCCGCGCGGACCTCCGAGTGTTGATGTCATTGCTTGTTTCCCTAGCCTTCTCCTTCTCTTCCCTGGCCGCCTTCCTGACGCTGTCCTTCGCCTTCTCCCGCACGATGCCGATGGCGCACCTCAACCTCTGGAAACTCTCTCTCCTGAAGCCCTTCGAGCCCTCTGGCACGTGGATGGCGAAGATACGGTCGCAGTCCTTCGCCGAGAGAGTACAGTCGCACTCGGCCTTGGCGAACTTCTTTGCCTCCGGCTTGCCCAGGAAGCCATCCTTCGAGGCGTACTTGTCGAACAGAGCGTCCTGGACATCTATCAGCTTCTTCGCGCTGGCCTTCTTGGTGACCTTTGCCTTCTGGTCCTGGGCCTCCTTCAGCGTCGCCTCGTTCCCCTTGGTGCACTCGATGATGCGCTGCAGCAGCGCCTGGAAGGTTGGCTTCTCCGACGCAGGCTTCTCCGCGGAGGCCTGGCTGGGCGGCGCGATCGGGATGGAGACCCTCAGCTCGGCGCCTCTGGCGGTGATGAAGTCGGTGCACACCTTCATCTTATCCTTGGCCGCCGCACCTGCCTCTTCGACTGTTGCCACCGCGGCGATCACGTCGTCCAGGCTCATCTCGGCGCTCTCGGAGAATGGCTTCGCCTCCTCCTTGAGCGCCTTGCCCTTCTCCTCGGCCTCGACGATGTAGCCCTCGAGCTCCTTCAGGAGAAGCTCGGCGTTTGCCACCGCGGCCTTGCGCTTCTCCTCCGCCTCCTTCGCCTGCGCTATCAGCAGCTTTGCCGCCTCAAGCCCCTGCTCCGCCTCCTGCTGTATCCGCGCCTGCTGAGCGCCGCAGTTCCCTAGCTCCTTCGCCAGCACCTCGTCCAACTGCGCCTTGAGCGCGTCGAAAGTCTCCTCCCTCGCTGCCCGCATCAGCTGGATGACCCGGCGGACGGCGAGGGTGGCCCGCTGCTCCTGCTGCTGCTTCTGCTGCTGCACCCTGACTGCCTCCATCTGCTGCTGCTGCTGCTGCCGCAGCAACTGCTGCTGCAGCTGCATCTGCTGCTGCTTCTGCAGCTGCATCTGCTGCTGCTGCAGCTGCTGCTGTTGCAACTGCATCTGCTGCTGCTGCTGCCACTGCTGCTGCTGCTGCAGCTGCGGGTTCGCGACCTGGGGCGTTGCCCGCATCTGCTGCTGGAGCTGGTTCTGGGCTCCGTTAGAAGCTGGCTGCTGCGCTGCCCCCGGCGTGAGCACGAAGGTGGTGTCCACCGGACCGTCGTAGGGGACCTTCCAGCCTGCCTTCGGTGGCGATGACGCCTCTTTGGCTGGGTGGTACGCCCACACCTGGTCGCCCCCTATCTTCGGGCCGAACCACCAGCCGCAGAAGCTCGGCCCGTCGCGCTCGTCCCAAAAATAGAGCATGACGTCCAGGCCGTTGACCTGCGAATCCTTCTTGTACGCCGGCTTCCCGTGGTTTTCGGTGCTCAACGTGAAGGCCCCGCGGACGATGGCGCCCACCGTGGCGTGGGTGCACCCCTGTACGGTGATCTGCCGTTCGCTGCCAACTGTCTCTGGCATGCCCGTGGGACTCTGCTGCTGCGGCTGCTGCTGCGGCTGCTGCTGCTGCGCCTGCTGCATCTGCTGCGCGCGCTGCTGCGCCTGCATCTGGGACTGCTGCTGCGCCTGCTGCTGCATCTGCTGCATCTGCTGCATCTGTTGCATCTGCTGCATCTGCTGCATCTGCTGCATCTGCTGCTGCTGCGGCGAACAGCCCTGCTGCTGGGCGGCCGCACCCTGCTGCTGCTGGCCCGAGGGCTGCTGCTGCTGCGCGGAGGCCTGCGCGTTCTGCTGCTGGCACTGGGCCAGCAGCTGCTGCTGCAACTGCTGCAACTGCTGCTGGTTGTAGCCCTGCTGGGCCGCCTGCTGCAGGTAAGCCTGGACGTGCTGCTGCTGCTGAGCCGTCAGCGCCGGCTGGCCTCCCTGCTGCGCTGCCGCCGCTTGCTGAGCGGCCGCCTGCTGCTGCATGGCCAACTGCTGCTGCATGGCCAACTGCTGCTGCATGGTGCCGGCAGGGCCCTCCGGCGGAGCGGGCGTCCCCGCTCAAGCGGCCCTCGCTCCCCGGACAGGCCGCCCCCGCGGGAGCCAAAACTGAGCCTTGAGCAAAGCAAATGCCGCAATGCCACGAGGGGAGGCAGAGGGGCAGGCGGGATGAGGGGAGAAGGCGGATGCGGAGGGGATGACGGTGGAGGGAGGCGAAGGACGGAGGGTGGGCGAGAGGAACGTCATCCAAGCTCGGTTCATGCATCCTCTGGTGCGTTGTCGTCGAATCCCCATCTTTCGAGAGTGGGCGCAAGACGAGAGGGGCGAGAAGGAGGACGCAGGAGGAGGGGGAGACGTCACCCGCGTTTGGCCACGAGGTGGCCAGAGACCAGCCGGAGAATGACTGCAAAGGTTGTTCGAAGGCCAGCTCGGCATTGCGAGGAGGGCAAAGGGCAGGGAGAACAGCGAGGAGAGGGAGGAGTACCAGGGCAAACCCGAAGTGCATCACCGGTGCCGTTGCACACCCTTAAAGGGGCCCCAGGACACACAAATCAATGCACACAAATAAACACATTTCCTATACTCTCCCATGCTTTCTGGGTTCTTGTCTTCCCCCCCACTTCCCATATCTTCCCATATTTTCCTGGGGGTCGTCGATTCATTGTGTCCGTGTGCTTTTGGTTCCCCCCTGAACCCTCTCGTCCCAAGGTCCCCCTCCTCAAGAACCTCTGCACGGCGCCCTCCGCTTCACCACCGCAGGCGCCCTCTCGAGAGGCCAGCACCTCCTGGGCCTGCCGTCCCGGCGAGGGCCCCGCCTGGACGACGAGGAGGTGCCTCGCATCCGCCCGGCGCGTGGCCGAGGGCTGCGCCGAGGCGAGAGCGTGCCACTCCGCCGGGTGTGCGAGCACCCCGTGCTCGAAGAAGGGCCGCACCCCCTCCTCCTCCTCCTCCTCCTCCTCCTCCTCCTCCTCTTCCTCCTCCTCCTCCTCCTCCTCCTCCTCCTCCGCCTCCTCCTCCTCCTCCTCCTCCTCCTCCGTCCGTGGAAGAGGCTGCGCCCGCCGCCGCTGCGGGCCGGGCAGGGCCGCTCCAGACAGCAGGCCTGAGCGGGAGCTCCCTCTCGCGACCACCTGCCAGACCACGCCAACCCAACCCGAAGACCCGAAGACCCGAATTTCGGGTTGGGGGGGGGTACGGGCTTCACATGTGTGTTTTCAATGTTCCCCGAACCCCTCCCCACAAGAAATTAGGGGGAAAACAAACCTACCTCGCTTTTGACCACCCTCGCTTCCAAGAGATACCAAACGATGCCAAACTACGGCCTGTACTGGTCAGGCCGCTTGACGAGGAGGCGCGTGGTATGACTTGGTTTTGCCTGGAAGCGAAAGCGGGGTAGTTAGTTCACGCTCCGAGAAATGGAAGGCAAGTCGGGGCCTTCGGGTTGGGTTTTGGGGTGGTTTGGTGGGCGGCGATTTTTGTTGGAGCAGGGACCCGCCCTCCCCCCGTGCAGCGGCCACCTGATGGGGCGCATGCTCGCCACGTTTCGGTCGGGCCTGTCCCCCTGCAGGGGGGGTTTTGGACGAAAAATAAAAAATACTCGGAACAGAGAGATCGGCCGAAAACGCCCACGATAGCCCCAAGACCGTCCAAGAAGCCTCCAAGACGTCCCAGGCCCCCTCCAAGAGACCCCCAGGAAGCCCCAAGAGGCCCCCACGAGGCTTCCAAGCGGCCCCTGAGAGCTTCCCAAGAGGCCCACAAACTACCCCCAAGAGGCCCCCAAGAGCGCTCGTCGTCGTCGTCGTCGTCGTCGCCATTCAGGGTCGGCGGCACCGGCCGTAAGGCCTTCGCAATACTCGAAACAGACTCAAAAGATGCCCCAAACATACTAAATACATGGCCCCCCGACTATCCTTTTACTATGTTTGAATATTCCCCCTATAGCGGGACATGCCTGTCCCCCTACAGGGGTTTTGGACGAAACATAACACATACTCGAAACAGACTCAAAAGATGCCCCAACACATACTAAACGAATAGCCCCCAGACTATCTTTTTTACTATGTTTGAATATTCCCCCTATAGCGGGACATGTTGGGAGCCCACAAGGGACGTACGCGCCCAACTATGTACATGAACACGGCCCCTTGACCCGCGAGACCGGCCGCATGATACGAACATTCGCGCAATGCGAACTCTCGAAACTAGCGTGGATTCATGTACGTGTACGTCCTTCTTTGGCTCCTGAACATGCCCGACTTCACGCTGCGTTTCAAAGACGGCGCTCTCGAGCGCCCCCTCTTGACGAGGAGCCGCCCTCCATCCGTGTAACTGGTGCGGGCTTGCGGCACGGATGTGCGCGGCGCGGCGGCGAGAAACCCGCTGTGGAAAGCAAGCGCCCGGCGAGAGCCCCATTTTGAAAATGGTCCGCCCTCCGTCACTGCAACTGCTGCATGCTTTCAACACAAATGCGCGCGGCGCCAAGGCGAGAGGCCCGTGTCGAAAACGGTACGCCCTCCATCCACAGAAGAACAAATAAGATAAGAAACACAGACGGGACGAACACGGGAAAACAAAACGACACCGATACCGCTCCTCTCTTCTTTCCTGGAGATTTCGAAGCGGATCCAGCCGTAGCAACGGGGGACGGACAGCGGTACTGGCGGTACCGGTATCTTTCCCTCTGTAAGCACTGGCAGGAAGCGGAAGGAATAACGGCGAGTAACGAGCGGCGCAGCTCGTCTGGGCATAGGCTGGCAGGCTGCGCGCTCTTTGCTCAATAAGAACGTGGGCGCCACCATCACAGGTGGCTGCAACTCGCGGACCGCACCGAACTCAAAACAGAACGCAACGGAAGACTTGTGACGCCAGCCCCCGCAGATCAATGGGGGCCCTCGCGGAACCAAGAGGCCGGCGCACTCTGGAAGAAACTGCAGCCGCGAGCCAGAACACTCTCCATTCCTTCATCCTCCGCCGGTGGATCATCGTCAGGTCCTCGTGAGATTGAGGGGGCCGAACAGTCTTACACCGTCCCTGGGTGCGTAGCTGAAGTGGGAATCCGCGGCGCGGATTATGTTAGTTGTTTGTTTTTTGCTGTTGATGTGCCCCCCGTGGGGCTCGCATCCTGTATTTCATCTGGAGAACACTTTATGCTGAAACTGTTGACATGCTCCCCTGGATACAACAACAACGGTCCCCACCTGATACTTCCTTACATTTCATTACAGCATCGCGCTCGTGCGGGACTTCCTCACGTTGTATGCAGGAATCGCGCTCTCGCGTGGGACCTCCTCGCAATTTATTCGGACGCCGCGCCCTCGACACTCAGGAACCACGCTCCCGCTTTGGCTTTCCTCGGGGTTTACTTGGGAATCGCGCTGTCGCTCGAGACTTCATCGCGATTCATGCAGGACTCACGCTTCAACAACCCGCATGCTGGGCTAAGGTCAGCCCGCCCGATATGCCAGTCTGGTTATGTCATGTGCTTTCTGCGCCTAGCCTCCCTTCAGCTAATGATTTCTCGTGTTCCATCCTTCTCCCCCCCGCGTCCATCCAACCTCTCCTCCGCTGATTTAGGTGCTGCGTTACTTGCACGTGGTAGGTAAGGAAGAAATGCCCCCTAAGCGGGTCCGATCGAAGACGAAGAAGGCGTGTACCGAGGGATTGGGACATACGTGTTGCTTGGCACGCGAGCAGACAGGAGCGAACAATCTTAAAATTGTTGATGGTGGTGCTGCTGCTGTTGTTGTTGTTGCTGTTGTTGTTGCTATTGCTGGTGTTGTGGTTGGTGGTGGTGGGTGGTGGTGGTGGTGTCGTAAGTGTTGTTCTTACTGCTGAGTTCTGATTTCAACTGAAAAAATAAGTTGTGTTGGTCGTTCCTCTCCGGTAACCGCTGTATGTGTTCAATTAAAGTCCTTCTCCAGGGGCTCGCACCCTTTCGCTATACAAGGGAAACTGAGGTGTCAACACACACAAAGTCTCTGGCCCCCCGGCTACAACAACAACGTCTCCCGCCTGATATTTCCTCACAATCTATTCCGAAATCGCGCTCTCGCGCGGGACGTCCCACAAATTACAGCCTGGAATCAACCTCTCGCGTGGACAGTTTATTCGGACGCCGCGCCCCCGAAACTCAGGACCCCCCCTTTCCCTGAGGATGTCCTCACGATGTATTTGGGGGTCGCGCTATCGCTCGCCCGATCTGCACTACTGGCTCTGTCGCGTGGTTTCTACTCCTAGCCCCCCTCCTGCTACTCTTTCTCATGCACCATCCTCCTCACCCCCCCATTGCCCTTTCCTTCCATCCGTTCTCTCCTCCCCTGCCTTATGGGCTGCGCGAAACACGCGTTGCAGGTAAGACTGATATTTCACCCAAGGAAGAACGATCGAAAACGAAAAGGGCAAGCATCGAGGGCTTGGGATATACGTGTTGGGTGGCACTCGAGCAGATGAGAGCGAACAGTCTGAGAATGAGTTCTGCTGCTGCTGGCGCTATTGATGTTTTAAGTGTTGTTGCTGTTGCAGCTGTTGCTGCTGTTGTTGTTGTCGTTACTAGTATTATTATTAGTATTATTATTATCATTGCTATTATTACTGTTGATGTTGTGTACTCATTTCTCGAAAATACAATGACTACTCTTGGTCTCCGGAAACGGTTCCGCGCGCCGTCCCTCACACGGTGTAAGGCCCCACAGGGAGTTCCTCCTCACGCCCCCCTGGCGCCGCTCGCATGTGGGCGCCGCGCTCGCTTCGGCACATGCCTCACACGCTTCGTGGCCAAATCTCGAGGCTCCACCGAAAGCCCCCGTGGCGACGTTCGCACGCGAACCTCACGTTCGTTTCGGCACAATTCCCCACACGCTCCGCGGCCCCGCAGGGCTCCACCGAAGGCCCCAGTGGCGACGCTCGCACGGCGGCGCCCCGAATGTCGGCACACCTCTCGCACGCTTCGTGGCCCCCAGGGGGCTCTGCCTCGGGCCCAAGAGGCGCCGCCCGCATGGCGGCCTCGCCCCACAGACACACTTGCCGCACGCCTCGCAGCCCCATACAGAGACCCATCTGAGGTGAGACGGTACGCACAAGTGCATATGGTTGGGTCCTTCGCCCAGATCGTTGGAAACATTCGG